AATTATTTTATTTTTTTTCCATAATTTTATTGATAAACAAATAGCAATAAGATAGTTTCAAATCAAATTGGTAGGGCAGTTTCAATAATTAACACATTCCATTAATATGAATTATTTTGTGTTATAAACCACTACTGTTAAGGAATTTGTTTTAGTTTATGTACATTTTTATATTTTAAAAGCTCTTGCTGATTATGTTCGTCTATAACTTCATGTGGAGTTAAAGAATTTCCCAATAGTGTTTAAACAACAAGTGTATATAAATGTTACTGTAAGTCATTCCTGGATTGCCTTTGCTTTTGCTCCTTCTCTTTGTCATTTTGTATAGCACTGTCCTCTGACCTTTGGTGTAGAGCTTTGGTGCAGTTATAATCTTAGCACCTACTGAAATTCTTACCCAAGAGAGATTATATGGTTAAGTCAGTTATAGTTTTGTATTTACAGAACTACAATTAGGAACACTAATAATGGGTAGTGATATTTAGCAGTCGACAAACTTTTGTAACTAATGGGTTTGTATTTCAGACAGTAAGAGCATACATTATCTCTGTATAGCTAAGCAGATATTAAATTGGGAATTTGTATTTAAGTTAGCTCCCCTAAGTTCTATCTGATCACCTCCCCTTGTTATACCTGGAGTCTTCTAGGCAGACTAGTTCATCCCGGTTACCTTTTGCCCCTTCTCTCGGTCAAGAGAAAAAGAGGGAGGATGCTTTCACAGATCTGGATCTAGCAAAGTGTCTCAGCTTACTGGGTCCGGATCTACGAAGTTTGAACTTGTCTCGATGTGCCTGGGTTGGGTCTGGCTGCTGTGCTCAGCTTCTTCTTGCTATAGCCCATGGAAGTGAACCTGCTGTGCCTCTCTGGCAAAATGTTCTGCTCCTGGATTAGCTGGGTGGTTCTGCAGGGACTTCAGCTGGAGAGTTTCACACCAGGATTGTATGCTGGGACTGGGCTGGGTCTGGAGGGGTCCCGAGAACACGGCCGAAAGTCTTAGTCACATGCTGGGCCTGGACTGGATCCAGAGGGTTCCAGTGGGCACAGCGGAGTGGAAGCTCTTTCACACACACACTGGGCCTGTCTCATTGTTATTTCTTTATCAATAAAATTAATTAAGGGGGCCTGCCCATTAGCTCAGTTGTTTAAGTGCCTGCTTAAACAAAGCAGTCAGCCTCAGGGTGCTGTGGTTTGATACCCAGATACTAAAGCCAAACCAGACCTGCTCTGAGGGAACCTGAGGCCACCAAAAAAAATAAATAAATAAAAAAAATAAATAAATAAAATTAACTTTTAAAAAGTCATGTCTGGGTTTTCTTTTAGATCTCATATAGTCTTTCAGGGTTTGAGATGCTTAGAGTTTATTTTGATTTCAGTTTCAGTTTTTTTTTTTTCTCACAGAAACTCAGATTTAGTTAATATGCATTCTAAGAAAGTCCTGTAAATATTTTAAAATATTTGGCAACCTATCATAAAAGTCATTATTTTAAAATTTAATTATGTTGGTTTTTATTGATATGGTTTCTTAATTCATTTGAAATGTTTTTGGATTATTGCCTAATGATATTCACCAAGAGACCTCACTTCCAAGTGCTCTGGTTTTTGGCAGGCACACTCAAGAATGCTTTGCTGTCTTGTGGAAAGAAAGCTTTACCCTCTCTCTGTTTGGGTAGTATTCTATGTTTCCTTTTGCTTCATTTCAAAAAAATTGTTCTAAATGGTTGAAGCACAAATTGAATGTAGTAGTCTGTTTCCTTTTGTCTCATATTTCAAAGATCTGAAATTCACAGTTATAGTATTTTATATTGTTATTCACTTTGTTGAAGAAGTAGGATTATAGACATAGTTACCCATATTGTACATGCTCCCAGAGTTACTTCTCAGGAGCTAATGCCCTGTTAGTTTTATCTGTAATTGGATATTTCAGCCATTCTCAGAAAACTTAACTACCTGTGTTTTATTAGTTCAGTAGTTCAAGTAGGGAACAACTCTTATTTTGAACAGATTAAATGTCTTTTGTTGATAATCCTAGGAAAACTAAAAATGAAAGATTATGTACTCTGAACCTTTTTTTCCATGCAGGAAATGAAATTGAAATCAATCTTTCTCATTTTCTAAGAAATTGTGATATATTAAAATACAGTTAATAATAGAAGGATTGTATTGAATTCTTTAATGATTCAGAAGATACTTTAGAAACTTCTGATAGTTTATTTGCCAGACATTGGCCATTCATTGTATTTATGAAGCACAAAAGTACCAATTAAAGATGTATAGTGTCAAGGTATAGTGTCAAGCAACAGAACTTACAGGATTTGCCTTCTGAGATAAATTTCCTGTGTTACTTCAACTGCAATAATAACATACCATACACTGTGGCTTATAAACAACAGAAATTTATTTCTCACAGTTTTGAAGGCTGGGGAATCCAAGATCAAGGCGTCAGCAGATTGTTTGTCTGGTGAGAGCTCACTTCCTTGTTCATAAGTGGCACCTTTTCTCTGATCCTCACATGGCAGAAAGATGGCAAGAGAATTTTGTTGTTCCCTTTTATAAAAGCACTGAGGTGTCTATCCTTATGACCAAATTTTTCCTAGAGACCCCACTTCATAATACTATCACATAATTTCAACATATGAAGTTTGGGGGAGGGACGCAAACATTTATTAGTTTTATAACATTTCTAGCTTTGTTGTTAATTGAAATATAACTGCTATTTCTTTATTCTGTTAAGGAATGGATCCTCAGAACAGAGGCTAGCAAACTTAAAATATTTTTTCATTTATTTCTCCTCACCTTGTACCCATTCATCCTCGTACCCACTCATCCTCATTCTTTTAAATAAAAGACAAATATTTTAGGCTTTGGGGGCCTGAAACTGCTCATCTTTGCCATTTCAGTGCAAAAGCAGCCACACACGATGAATGTAGCTGTGTTACAGTAGAACTTTATTTACAAAACAGCTGGCTGGATTTAGCTGGATTTGACTCATGACCTATATATAATTTGCTGGCCCCTAAACTAGACACAGGATATCCATTTGTATCTCTATATAGCCAATACAATGCTTGGTCCTTGTTTAATTAATACCATATTTGTTGAATTAATTTGGAATTAATAGATGCTACTTAATATATTGAAGAAGCTGGGCGTGGTGGAACACACCTGCAATCTCAGCACTTGGGAGGCTGAGGCAGGAGAATCACCACAAGTTTGAGGCTGGCCTGGGCTACATAGAGAGTCCAGGCCAGCGTGAATTACATAAGAGAGACCCTGTTCCTATTTTCTGTTTTCTCTATAAACATCACTTTAACCTTAGCATTAACATTGGCAGGTTTTTATTTTCTGTCAAAATCAATGTATTTTGAAAGTAGAAGTACAGTGAAAATAAGCCAACTAGATAAGCTTGTGACCAGATAAACAAAATCATGATATATCCATATAATGGAGTACTACTTACCAGTAAAAAGAAATGAACTACTGATACATGTGGTAATATGGATGCCTTTGACATCCATAAAGCGAAAGAATCTTGGCACAAAGGACTATATAGGGCTGGAGAGATGGCTCAGTGGTCTAAAGCACCTACTTGGAACAAGCTTGGCAAAGCACAGGGACCGCGGTTCGATCCCCCAGCACCACATGCCAGCCAGCCCCGCTCCCTGGTGGGCTGAGCTGGCCACACACACACACAGACACAATAAATAAATGTTAAATAAATAAATAAATTTAAAAATTAAAAAAAAGAAAATTTAAAAAAAAGGGACTATATACTATGTGATTACATTGCGATGATATTATAGAAAAGACAAAACTGGCCAGATAATGATGGTGCATGCCTTTAACTGAGCATTGGGGAGGCTGAGGCAAAAGGATTGCTGTGAGTTGGAAGCCAGCATGGACTACATAGTGCGTTTGAAGCTAGCCTGGGCTATAAAGTGAGCTACTGTCTCCAAAGAAAAGGTAAAACTTAAAAGAACGTAGATTCATATGATTGACTACAAACCATTCTTCTTCTATGAAGAACCTTCTGGTTTGCTGGAAATTGTTTCTTCTTTATTGTTGTTGTGGTGGTATTGACATGGTATAAATGGTATCATGTAAAAATGATATATATTCGTCAAAACTAAAAAAATTATATACTAAAATTATATGGTGAACTCTGTAGAGCTTTAAGAAGAAACAGTGCCGGGGATATAGCTCAGTGGCACAATGCCTCCCTGGCAAGCATGAAGCCCTAAGTTTGATTCCCAATAAAATAAAACAAAAGAAGAAACAGTAGATCTGTATTGTCATTGCAGCATTATCAGACTCTCAACTTTAGAGGAAAGTAAATGTTTAATTTTTCATTATGGAAGCCCAAAACAAAAATTATATTTTAATTTTCTTAAATTACAGAGACACAGCTAAGTTCCACTGAAACTTTTGACCTTGAAAGAGAAGACTCTTCAGGTGGCCAGGAAACTGTGGATGAAGTAAAAACAATGGGAGATACGGAGGTGAATATTTTCCATTATAATTTTTCTTGGTCATTTCTTTCGGGTGGTATCTTCTTACTGATACAATGATGACCTTGGCTGAAAAGGTTTACATGACCTAAGGTTTTGGTTTTGGGGACTCTTATCTCAGGGAGAAATTTTTATAGTTAGGGTACAAATAGAGTTGATACTGGGTGTGGTGGCATATGCCTGTAATCTCAGCACTTGGGAGGCTGAAAACAGGAGGATCACTGTGAGTGCAATCTGTGTAGTGAGACCCTAAATACCCTGTACTAAATACATAAAAAAGAAAAAAAAGAATTTAAACTGTTTATGATCTATTGTGAAAAGCAGCTTGAGAATTAAACAGACTCTTCTACTGAAATAAGATTTTTGTGTGTTTGTGTTTACTATCTTATTCTGAGCACCTTAAACCTAATCCTATTACTCCTTTTTATACTTCAGGCTTTCTGGGGGCCTGCTGGTTAGCTCAGTTGTTTAAGTGCCTTGCTTATGCAAACGCAGTCAGGCTACTGTGGTTCCATCCCCAGATCCTCATGCCTTACCAGACCTGTCCTTAAGGCATCCTGAGCCGGTTCCCTCACCAAAAAAAAAAAAAAAAAAAAAAAAAAAAAAAAAATCCTTGTATGCTTTAGGCTTTCTGAAAACAATTTTTTGCAGTACATGTTATGTCCCCTCCCCAGTCTCTGCACTGCAGGTAACTGGGTTGAATTTCTGCTTTGATCAGTCATGCACACTATCTGATTGCCTGGAACCTGATCTGTCACAATGACCAACCAGGATTCCCTGGTGCTGGTGGTGGTAGAAAGGTGATGACATTTCCTGCAATAAAACCACTGAGCTCTCTGAATTTTATTTTTTATTTACTTATTTAGGCGGAACCGGGGATTGAATTTAGGGCCTTGTGCTTGCCAGGCAAGCACTTATTCTACTGAGCTATCTCCCCGGCCCCAATAAAACCACTGAGGATGGATCCTGCTAGATAATGTTAAAATGGCCTTTGAGTTCTTTTCCTAGGGAATAAACAGAGCCTTCTAATTATGGAGACAGAGTATTGTTGGGAACAGAGTATTATTATTTTTTTATTGATTTATTGATTTTTGTATTTAGTACAGGGTCTACAGAATCTCACTACACAGATCAGACTTGTAGTGATCTGCCTGTGTTCAGCCTCCCAAGTGCTGGGATTACAGGCGTGTGCCACCGTGCCCAGTCTCAATCACCATCTCAGTGTGCTCCCCCCTCTGGGAGGTTGGGGAGACAGGGCTGGCACAGCAGTCTGTGGAATCAAACCCCCAGCCCCTGCCTGCCTAAGCAGGCACATTAATCCACTGAGCTTTTTGGCCAGCCCTGGGGACAGAGTATTATTAACATAACGATTCTAACATATGAAGAAGTCATACAAGCCTTTGTAGTTAATCAGGTTGATCATACCATCCATGATTGCAAAGGATATTGTTCTTTATTGCATGAAAGAACATGAACCCTATTTAGAATTTATAGTGCACGTCTGTACTACTACACATCAAACAGGTGGAATTGTATATATCCTTTTTCACATATAGAATATTCTCTTTTTACCATTGTTCACTATAAGTTAGAAATATTATATATTTAAGTTCTGGAGTAATAATCACTATTTATAAGCCATTACATATAAGTGAGTATTTCATGTGTATGAAAATAATATCATGAATGATGTGTACCCTTATCTTTGGAGTCTAAAGAGGATCACTTGTCTTAGAATACTTTGTTTCTTGAAAGGTAGCATGGCATAGTGCAGTGTACTTGCTCATTGGAATGAAAAGACATGGCTATGAATCCAGTCCCCTACTTTGGCTGTCTACTTTTTTTTTTTTTTTTTTTTAATTTTAGGGAAGGGTTTACAGGATGTTCAGGGTCTCACTACTAGATTGGACTCTAATGATCCACCTGTTTACAGCCTTCCAAGAACTGGGATTACAGGCGCGTACCACCATGCCCAGTCTCAATTGCCATTGCAGTGCAACCCGGGGGTGGGGCAGGCACGGCAGACCTGGGGATTGAACCCCTGGCTCCTGCACCTGCTTGCAGGTGCTTTAATCTGCTGAGCTATTTGGCCAGCCCTCCAGTCCCCTACTTTGTAATATTGGACAAATTACTTGTTTATCCATTTATTAGGCAGATGTTTATAATTTGTATGCTTCATGCTAGCCATTGTTTTAGGATGCCAAGATAGCACATTCCCTGCCCTGATGAGGTTCTATAAAGGGAAGAGAGAGACACATAAATAAGATAATTATGCAGTCTGATAAATGTCATGGTAGATTCCTTGCTTATTTGAGCATCACAGAGTGAAGACTCTTCTGAATTTTAGCCCTTCATATGTAAAATGGAGGCATAATTATTTATTTTACTGGGTATGCATGTGGGAACAGTTATTTTACTGTTTATACATATCATGGCTAGTTTTAATAATCATGAGTAATCATGAAGATATGGGGAATACTTATGACAGAACTGTGGTCCCTCTTAGTTTGATTTCCTACCGTAGTGAATTTGTTTTTTTCTTTGAAATAATGATTTTTTTATTTTTTAAAAAATGTATTTAGTACAGGGTCTACAGGGGTTCACTACACAAATCAGACTCATAGTGCTCCTCCTGTTTTCAGCCTACCAAGCACTGGGACTATGGGTGTGTGCCACCATGCCCAGTCTCAATCGCCCTCTCAGCACTCCCCAGGGGTTGGGCTATCACAGCATTCAGGGATCGGAACCCTGGCTGCTGCTCTCTGCCTAAGTAGGTACTTTAGTCTGCTGAGCTATCTGGCCAGCCCTAATGATGATTTTTATTTATTTATTTTTTTGTGGTACTGGGGATTGAACTCAGGACCCTGTGCTTGTTTCAGTACCATACCAGAAAGTTTGCCTTAGATTTTCAGATTGTTAGATTTTCAGATTGAATTTGCAGATTCATAAAAGTTACTCAGAGTCAAGCAATGAGCTTAATCAGTAAGTTTTTAAGTTAATTGTCTGAGTCCTATGGTAAGGAGAAGATTCTAAACAAATGTTTAAGCTACATTTAAACTGGGTGGAGGCAGGTTAGAGAATTTGACAATTTTTAAGACATGGTATTATTTTCACTGTGTTTGTTTCTGAAGGTGAGGTTTTGAGTCCAAAAGGTAAAGACCAATCTTGTAGCCATTTACCAGTCCAATTACTAAATACAAAGTAACCAAAAATTGCATATTTTTCATTAATTTCTGTAACAGGGAATATAAAAATGAGAATTACCAAATTTATTCAATAGTTTTTGTGTATGGTATATTTTAAACATTCAGTATATAACATAGCATTACAGTGTGGGCAGTAGTATGCAGTGTCTTTCTGAATTTTTTTTGTGTCATCTTCCTTTGAACAACACACTTTACACTGTTGTGTTGGCCTTTTCTTTTCTTCTGTGGATGGTATAATTTCAAACAAATGTCTCCCCACTAGACCTAATGGTGACAATGTCAATGATGGATATCTTGGTTGGCATTTTGGTATCCCACATTTTTCAGTTATTTGGTCTGTTAGGCCAAATGTAAATTATAAGTGATTTTTTGAACCCCCTTATTTGAATAAATAACAGGTGAGCTTTGTATTGTTTGGTCCAGACAGAAGTAAATAATTTTTTTTTAAATAAACCTTTTTTTTAATTTTATTATTTATGTGTGTGTGTGTGTGTGTGTGTGTGGCCAGCTCAGCCCACCAGGGGGCGGGGCTGGCTGGCATATGGTGTTGGGGGATTGAACCGCGGTCCCTGTGCTTTGCTAAGCTTGTTCTAAGTAGGTGCTTTAGACCACTGAGCCATCTCACCAGCCCGAAGTAAATAATTTGTTATGTTTTTCCTCACTGTTTGATAGTTTATTAGGTGTCAACACCACCCATAGAATTACTATAATCATTGATTGCTATTGAAATTCTTCATTTCGTTTTTTTCTTTCAAGTTCTATCATTTGTTTTATGCATAGTTGATAATAAGGAAGATATCTTTTTTGTCATTCCATTTCATAACAGAGTTTTCCTCTCTGGTATGTTAACATTTCTCCCTTTGCCAGTTTTTCTCTCGCAGATCTTTTGGTACTTCCTTCCTACTCAGTCTCCATATCCCAAATGTGTCCAATTTTGTATTTTAAAAGAATATCACTGAGTTTTAGAGAAGTATAAAAACTATAATGAGGGCCAGTAAGATAGCTCAGTGGACTAAGCACCTGCTTAGACAAGTGCAGGGACCGGGTCTTGATCCCTGGCACCATATGCCATGCTGGTCTTGCCCCTGGGCATGCTGAGCTGGCCAGAGACTGGGCCTGGTGGTGCATGCCTGTAATCTCAGTGCTGTGAAGGCTGAAAACAGGAGGATCACTGAGCTGCATAGGGAGACCCTGTACCAAATACATTTTAAAAATTATGTATAATGTACTTACTGTAAGTTTTTATAGATTATAGCATAAAATTATAGGTTATTTTCACAAATAAGCATAAATTAGCAAAATAACCAAAACTTATTATTAGATTTCATTAAAAACAAACATCAAAGGCAAATACAACATTCCAAATGAAAAAGTATACACAAAATAGTTGATATAAAACAGACAGATATACAAGTTTATCTGTTACCCACAAACAAGAATCAAATGGTTGAAATGACACCTGCCTGAGTGGTGCTTTGGATAGTCAGCATATAAACAAATTTGCTTCCCAAGTGATGCTTGGGTTAAACTTTTTTTTTTTTGGCGGAACCAGGGTTTGAACTCTGGCCCTTGCACTTGTCAGGGAAGCGCTTATTCCACTGAGTCATCTTCCCAGACCCAGGTTAAACTGTTAAGTGGTTAAGTAATTTGAGATTCAGTGTTCAAGTATCACTTCTGAGGAATCACTCTATAGTATTTTAAAACAAAAAGTGACTCTGCACAGACCAAATTTCTGACTATGTAGTCCTAATAAAAGATGTTTTGTTTGTATTTACCCCCTTGAGATTCTTCTGCAGAAGTTAATGTTTAAACAGACTTTTTTTTTTTTTTTTTTTTTTAACCAGGGATTGAACTCAGCCCCTTGAGCTTGCCAGGCAAGCACTTATTCTACTGAGCTATCTCCCCAACCCCCTGACCTTTTTAATTGTGTTGGGGAATTTTTTTTTTTTTTTTTTCTGGCTCAGGCTGCCTTAAGGGCAGGTCTTATAAGGCATGGGGAGCTGGGAATTGAACCATGGTCCCCTGCGTCTGACTGGGTTTGCCCTAGCAGGCACTTAAACAACTGAGCTAACCCACAAGCCCCCCAGGGAAAATATTTTTAATATAATTCTGAAACTTTCTGGCTTGCCTTAGAATATGGTTGGTGGTAGTCTCATATTCACAATTAGACAGTCACAGAAAGACTACTTAAATATGTTAACAGTTACAGATACACTCTATATTTTATAGAACTGGTAATGAATACAGAGGAGTATACTGATGTTGTGAACACCAGTGGCATTTTTGTTGTATAATATCTCAGTTGCTTAACAAACTTTAGAATGCCAAGTGTTATGACTTATATTTGGATGTCTTCCCAAATCCTCAAGCAGTCAGAGGTGGGGCTTTTCATAGGTGGCTGGATCTACAGTGTGTGATGCTAGAATTAATTCATGGCATAATGCTAGGACTAAAGGTGCTAGGATTGAGGGTATGAGTGCTACCTGCCCTTATAAGATATAAGGGACAGAAAGAAGCTTGTTGCTTATCTCTTGCTTGCTTTTGCTGTCTTCTCCCTCTCATGAACTGTTTTCTGCAATGCCCCTCTGCCACCCATCGTGGTTTGGAGTCAGCTGATTGTGAACTGAAATCTCTACAAACTCTGGGCTGAAGTAAACCTTTCCTCTGACTTTGGGTGTCAGATATTTTGTCCTAGCAATGAGAAAAGTAACAAAGATACCAAGTAATTAATGAATCACCAATAACTTTCAGTAGCTCAAGACTGCTTGCTATTTGGGGGTATAATATATTGATTTTCTCTGCTCTGCTCAAACAGCTTTGCATATATAACTGTTTCATTTTTGATTTTTTAAGATTTATGCACAAGAAGAACCTAGATTTGGGAGAAACTAAGCTTGGGGTAATGTCACTTAGAACTTCCAGATCTCTTAACTCTTCACCTGTTGGAGAAGAGTAGTCAGGTAGTCTCCCAATACCTGCAAGGTCAGCTTTTACAAACAAGTAGAAGGGAGGATTCTTCTTGTTCTTCTTGTTCTTCTCCTTTTCCTTCTGCAATACTGGGGGTTGAACTTGGGACCTTGTGCTTGCCAGGCAGGCACTTATGCCATTGAGCTTTATCCCCAGCCTATGGATTTTCTTTTCTTTTCTTTTTTTTTTTTAAGGGAAGGATCTACAGGGTGGTCTCACTACTAGATCGGCTCTTAGTGATCCACCTGTTTACAGCCTGCCAAGAGCTGGGATTACAGGCGTGTGCTACCATACCCAGTCTCAGTGTGCCCCAGGGGTGGGGCTGGCATGGCAGGCCCAGGGATCAAACCCCTGGCCCCTATGGCTATTTGCAGGTACTTTAATCTGCTGAGCTATTTGGCCAACCTAGATTTTCCTTCTTGGTAGAATGAAAATACTGAAAACTTTGATGTGAAAGAAGCTCAGGTTTAAGTCTAGATTGTTTACTTTTTACTTTGTCATAAGCAGGTTACTTTGCCTTTCCCAAGCCTATTTCTTCTTCTCTAACACCAAAGCTAGTGATACTTTTGTCTAGTTATCATAAAGGATGGATATGAAAAGTGCTTGGCAGAGCCTGTTCTAAAACCAGTCTTACTTTTCACCTTTTAAGAGTATGTGGTTTTTTTTTTTTTTTTTTTTTTTTTTAAGGGCTGGCCAAATAGTGTAAAAGGATTAAAGCAATGGATTAAAGTGCCTGCAAGCAGGCCCCTGGGGCATGTTGAGACAGTGATTGAGACTGGATGTGGTGGTGCATGCCTGTAATACCAGCTCTTGGGAGGCTATAAACGGGGATCACTACAAGTCCAATCTAGCAGTGACACCCTGAACACCATGTAGACCCTCCCATAAAATACAAAAAAAAAAGAAAAAAGAAAAAGAAAGAAAGAAAAGTATGTGTTTTTAGAAGAAAGCAAATGAGTTGAAAATAGGTTATATTCTGGCAGTTTTAGAAACTGTTTGACTTGTTATTTGTGTGGCCAGTTTACCTCTGCTGCATCAGATTTACAAGTGGTAGGTAGATTTTAGGGATGGCCTATACTTAGGGACCAAAACAAACAAAAACCTAATTGACCTGAAAATTATCTACCCATTGCAGGAGTTTGTTTTTTTTTTTTTTTTTATGTGTTTGGTACAGGGTCTCACAATGCAGCTGGGACTCGTAGTGATCCTCTTGCTTTCAGCCTCCCCAGTGCTGGGATTATAGGCATGCAACACCAGGCCCCGACTCCATGTGTGGCTGGCAGGGCCAGCACAGCATGTGGTGCTGGGATCCAGCCCAAGTCCTTGAGCTTGCCTAAGCAAGCACTTCATCTGCTGAGCAATCTCGCCAGTCCCCCATTGCAGTTGTAGTCCTGTTTTATTCTCATAACAGGAGAGAGTCTTTTCTTCCACCGTAGAAAGATGTGATGACAATCTAGGTTCTCTTTGTTCTTAAATGAAGCAATATCTGCAGAGCAGTTTCACATTGATTCAATAGGACTTGCTGTCTTTTGGAGCAAGTGTAAGGCAGTAGTGCTGCAGTGTTCATGCATACTGTTGAATTAATCACTGCAGAGTTGTTGGCTTTAACTGACCCGTACAGGTAAAATACAACTGCCTCTGAGAGACACTAGCAGTTTAGAGCAAATAATGAGTTGAAAATAGGTTATATTCTGGCAGTTATAAAACACTGAGTTTAAGAGTGACTTCAGTAGAATTATTGTCTTGACTAATGACATTTCTTTGTGTTTTTAAGTATTTGGGCCTTAGTTTTTGCTTTTACTTTAAAAAAAATACAAAACACAAGAGGTGTTTTGTCTTTCTTGGTCTAAGGACAGACCAAAACTTTAAGTTAAATCCTATTTATGGGGCTGGTGAGATGGCTCAGTGGTCTACAGCACCTACTTGGAACAAGCTCAGCAAAGCACAGGGACCGCGGTTCAATCCCCCAGCACCACATGCCAGCCAGCCCCGCCCCCTGGTGGGCTGAGCTGGCCACACACACACACACACACACACACACACACACACACACAAATAAATAAAAATTAAAAAAATTTAAAAAAAATCCTATTTATGTTCCTTTTGACTTAGATCTCTTTTGTTTTTAAACTCAATATCTTAGTTACAGTGATCTCTGTGTATGTGTGCACGCATGCATGTGCATGTGATTGAGAAAGTATTTTAAGATGCTGCTGAGAACAAAAGTGTGAAGTACAGCAGACACAGGACACTTTTTGTAATGAGGACTATGCCTTGCAATGTAGTAGAAATCAGTATCCCCATGTTTTGGATCCAGATAGTCCTTGATTTGAATTTCAATTTTGCCACTTATTTGTTTGTGACTTTATGTAAGTTACTTGATCATTTTTGATAATACTCTTTGTATCTATAAAAAGACTGTGTCAATACCTTTGAAAGATTGTGAAGTTTGAATGTGTAATATGTACATAGAGCTTAATATATATTGTTGGCAGGCATTGAATCTGTAAATATTATCTTTATTAATAGTGTCCTGATTTGGTAATCTGATTGGTAATGTCTCTTTGAAAGTAAATGAAATAGGCTGGAGAGATGGCTCAGTAGAATAAGCACTTGCCTAGCAAGCTCAAGAACCTGAGTTCAATCCCTGGTTCCGGAAAAAAAAAAAAAAAAACAACCTTAGAAAGTAAATGAAATAGGGGATGCAATCTCATGCAGGTTTCTGGAGAAGAACATACTTTATAAACTAAGCTTTTTTATTTGCCATTTGATGTATTTCTTCAGGTTGGTAACAGGGAAGATGTTGAGAAGGAAACACCTACTTCTACCTTTTCATCCAGTAACCAGGTGTCATGCCCATTATGTGACCAAGGCTTCCCACCCACAAAGATTGAGCAACATGCCATGTACTGCAATGGTCCAATGGAGCGAGATACAGGTAAAAAACTCATCATAACAGATGAATTCTTACTTTTTTTGTGTGTGTGTGTTAGTGGTTTTGTAAACCTGTACAGTACAATACAGAGAGACAGACAACTCTTCAAAGGTAAAGTTGTCTTCTGTTTTTCTAGCACTTTCATGTCCTACATTACTTTTAGTAGATATATTACCTGGTTACATGTACCACAAGAGAAGGGGAAAAGGAAAGTCTCTTCTCTCTTTTAATCTTTGAACTTATGTTTTGCTATATGTAGGCTGAAAACTGGTACAAAGCAGTAGATTTTGCCTTTCAATTTATATGTTTGAAATACTGAGACTTATAGAACTTCAGGAATTAAGATCTAGAGTTGCATTATTTTTTTACTTGTGTTTTTTTTTAATAGAAATTCTGGGGCCAGGGAGATAGCTCAGTAGAATAAGCACTTGCCTGGCACGTACAAGGGCCTGAATCTGATCCCTGGTTCCTCCAAAATAAATAGAAATTCTACCTAGAGACAGTGTACATCTGTATAATCTCCTGAATTTACGTTCTTGTCCTACATGACTACTGAATTTCACTGGAGCATTGGTTTGTCCCTCTAAGAGTATATAGCAAAGGAGAGTTCTGATATATTGTGAGATATTGACTAAGAAAATTTTTTAATCCAACCCATTGAAATACCTTGATCTTGCCTTTCTGCTTATGAATTTAATTTCTAAATATAATAATGTCAACATAGCTAGCTATCTTTGTGTGTGTGTGTGTGTAGGGTCTCATTGTGCAGCTTGGACTCATAGTGATCCTCCTGTTTTCAGCCTACCCAGTGCTGGGATCACAGGTGTGTGCCACCACACCCAGATTTGATCACTGGCTCAGTGCGCCTGGGGCAGGGCCTGTGTGGTGTGCAGTGCCCGGGATCAAACCCCAGTCCTTATGCTTGCCTAAGCAGGTGCTTAGTCCACTGAGCAATCTCACTGGCCCTTAACTATCTATCTTGATCCAACACACTGAATATAACCCTAAGATAATTAGAAGTGTTGCAACATTCTCGGTGCTACTTTCCCATAACTTAAATGTATTTAAAATTGTTAAGTTATTTTGTTGGTTCGGTTTTGTTGTTTTGAGTATAGGACCTCACTCTGTAGTTTAGACAGACCTCAGACTCTCAGTAATCCTCTTGCCTCAGCCCCCCAAATGCTGAGACAGGCATACATCACATCTGGCAATTGTGAACTATTGTATTCATTTAATAACTAACACACATGTTATTAAATGAATACCTGAACTTGTAATTTAATAGTTTGATTTTTCTGGTTATAAATAGTATATGTTAAGGGCTGGCCAGATAGCTTAGCAGATTAAAGCACCTGCTTAGGCAGATGTAGGGTCTGGGGTTCAATCCCTTGTGTTCTGTGCTGGCTCTGCCCTGGGAATTGAGAGTAGGTGTGGTGACGTGTGCCTGTAATCCCAGTACTTGGGAGGCTGAAAACAGGAGGATTGTTAGGAGTCTGATCTGTGTAGTGAGACCCTGTAGACCCTGTACTAAATACATAAAACAATAAATAAAATAATAAAGTAGTACATGTTAATTGTAATAATAGTGGCTTACATTTATTAAATTCTTAGAATTAGGTACTATTAGCTACCATTTACATAAATGGTGTATTCAGTTACTTTTCTCTCATTGCTGGGACAAAATACCCAAAATCCAAAATTAAAGAAGGAAAGGTTTATTTAGCTCCCAGTTTGTGGAGGTTTCAGTCCATACTTGGCTGGCTTCGTGGCAGAGGGCAGAAGTTCATGGCAGTGCAAAACAGGAAGAGCCAAAAGGGAGGAGCAGTAGCAGAGGAGCAGAGACAGAGAGCAAGCCTCTCTCCCTTACTTAAATTGCATCCAGTCTATCTGCTCCAGGCTGAGTGTAGCACTCATACCTGTAATTCCAGCATTGGATCATAAATTAATCACAAAGTTTAGAAGCCTGCCCCATGACTGTGCGAGGCTTTGGAGGGACAAATAGACACAAACCATACATTCTGCCCATGACCCCTCAAAGACTCATGCACATTCCTTTATGCAAAAGGCATTGAGTCCATCTCTAAGAATTGCCAAAGTCCTAACAGTTTCAGCATTGTTGAAAAGTCCAACTCCCAAGTGTCCTCCAAGATCTAAGGCAAACTCTTAACTGTGAACCCTGTACAAATGAAAAGTTAAATACTTCCAACATTCAATGGCACAAGAGAAACAGTACCATTCCAAAAGATAAAAACAAGGAGATACAAAGCATCGGGACAAAAGCAAGTCTAAAATCCAGCAGGGAAAGCATTATGTTCTATAATTCTTTGTTTAACATCTGAGGCAATTTGTAGTGAATTGTGAGCTCTGTGTGGCTCCACCTCTATCACACTTTTGGTGTTAGCGCCCATGACTTCTCTCTTAGGTCAGTTTTATGCCTTCTTGCAGCTTTGCTTAGATGATCCATGCTCCAAACTCCTGGGGCTTTTCACTTTCTGCTTTATACACTGCCCTCCCAGGGACACACTGCCTGGCCTCTCAGGCCTTCTTCTGAAATCTAGGTGGAAGCCTTTTTAACCTCAGAATTCCTGCATTCGGCCTGCACATAAAACCCCATGTCGATGATGCCAAGGTCTGCTGCTAGCTGGAGCAGTAGCCCGGCTTTCTTCTCTGTTGGCTGTGGGGGTGGAGTGCCTGGATTACTGAGTACCCTGAACCTAATTCTGAAGAACATATTCTCTGTGGCATCATCACGCTGGGACTTGGTGTGGTTGTCGCCGCCATTCTGGAACGTGGCACTCTGAGGCTTTCTCCTCAAATCCAAGTATCTCACCCTTGTAGTTTTGAGGCTGCAAAGGGTGGAGATCTGCTGCCTCCTGTGATACCCTCAGGCTATCCTTTTTTTTTTTTTTTTTTTTTTTTTTTAGGCTATCCTTTCTATTTCTTGTTCCTTCTTGGTAGTGGAGATCCTCTCAGTACTATCTTTGTAGTCCATAGATTTATTGGTGCTTCCTTTTTGGCCAAAGAGCCCAAAGTCCTAACAGTTTCAGCATTGTTGAAAAGTCCAACTCCCAAGTGTCCTCCAAGATCTAAGGCAAACTCTTAACTGTGAACCCCTGTACAAATGAAAAGTTAAATACTTCCAACATTCAGTGGCACAAGAGAAACAGTACCATTCCAAAAGATAAAAACTGCTGGGCTGTTTTCTTGATTCTCCTTATAAAACTGACAAAGTCCCCAACAATAGTCATGCTACTGCCTCAACATTCAGTTCAACTGCCTTAAAATTTCTTTTGCCAGATTAATCAGTCCTTCATGCTTAATCTCAGTCTCAGGTATTCTCTGGACATGAGCAAAATGTAGACAAATTTTCTGCCAAGCCATACCGCACAATGTCTGGAGTCCAACAACCAATGCAGTCCTTCTTCTCAGCAGAAACTTCCCCAACCTGATCTTTACAGGCAAGATTTCTCTCAGCATTGTGGTCTTCTTAGCTCTGACCAGAATCTCCCATACAGAACAGCCAAAGACATTCCAGCTCTTCTCTTGTAGGTAACATCTCTGAGACCTTCTTATCTCTTCCCATAAGCCATTCCCAAAAGCTTGTATTCCACATGGTCAGGTTTAGTCACAGCCATGACTCCATTTCTCAGTACTAAGTTCTTTCTCAGTCAGGGTTTTATTAGAGGAATGGATATAAAACAAGACATAAAAATGTATAAGAAATGACAAGATTGGCATACAAATGGTCAGCCAGAGTCAGATAAGGAAGCGTGCAGAAGGGCATCTACACACTGGAGAATGAAGGATTCATTCCAACGTCTGGAGCTCACTGCAGTGTTCTATGCAAGTCCATATCAGGGGCTGATGGGTCTGCGATGGAAGGCTGATGAGTCTTCACTGGAAGGCTGAAGGATCCAAGGTGCAAGCTGAAGTTTCTGTGCTAGAAGCCTGGAAATGAAGTCGGATCTGCGAAGACCAGAGCTCCTCCCAGAAAATGGAACCCTTCATCCTTCCTCATTTCCCTTTTATATCCTTTAAGTAATGAGTCACTCTAGGGTGGGCCCTCCACACCCTAGCATGTGGATTTGCTGAACCAATTTAAATAAACTTTTAACTTTTGAAGTTGAAAAAACTAATTCTGGAAACTACTTTTTTGTTCAATTTAGATCTCTGTATTACAGTAGATATATTTTCATATAATTGAGATACGATTGTATGCCATATTTTGTATTTTGCTTTTTGAACTTTTAGCATAAAATTTCCTCATCTTACTAGTTATTTGTAAAAACATCTTTAATATCCACTTAATAATCTATAATATGAATTGCCTCCATTTACTTAACTGTTGTGTATTTAGAATACTTTCATGTTGCCTATGTAATTAGATAGCATTGAGCCTATTACATCTAAAATTGTTATTGTATTTTGGGATTATTTATCAAGAATATAGTGTATTCTGGGGCCATGGATATAACTCAGTGGCACAAGTGCCTGCGTGGCAAGTGCAAGGTCCTGAGTTATTTCTGGTTACCCCCCCCCCCAAAAAAAAAAAGAATAGTATATTCTAGGGTTATTTCCCACAGGTAATGGTGGTACCTTGGTTCACAAACTTAATTTGTTTTATGATTTTTTTTTTTTAAAGATGGCTATGTTCTATTGAAAGGAACAGTTAATGCTTAGGGGTTTTTTTGACCACTTTTGCATGCTTATATCTGATAATCTAAACAGCTAATTTGAAGACAATATAGCAATTATTGTTGAATTCTTATCTTGTTTAGTGAAATTCTGTATCATTTCTAATATTATTTTTATTACTTTTACTCTCTTTAAAAATAATATAAGTAAAACATGGCTATGTTTGTGTAGGAAAGCTGGCTGTGTTTGTCATGCTTGTCACCCATTGTAGAGTTTGCAAACAAAAACAAAATTTTGTCAAACATTTCTGTTTGCAAATCGTATTGTAAACAGAAGCATTTGTGAACCAGTGTACCACTGTAGTTCCA